AAGAGCTTCTATTAGTTATTAACTAAAATAAAAATATTAGGGGTGCCTGGCTGGCTCAGTTGGTAGAGCATGCGATTCTTGATCTCAGAGTCATGAGTTCAAGCCCCACATTGGGTGTGGAACCTACTTAAAAGATGAAATAAAAACATTTATGCTGCCAAAAAAAGTACTAACTTCCTTCTAAAGAAAGTTCCAAGCTGGTCCCCTTTCATAGTCTGACGTTTAACATCTCATTTATTCACTCAAACCACAGGCACCTACCTGTAGAGGTTATTTGGCATTTTATAATATCATACCTGTTTTAACATCTTCCTACCATTTTTATAAAGGATTGCTATTTTCCAGTACCCTGTCACATATATTTAAAAGAAATCAGGGCGCCTGGGTGGCTCAGTTGGTTAAGCGACTGCCTTCGGCTCAGGTCACGATCCTGGAGTCCCGGGATCGAGTCCCACATCGGGCTCCCTGCTCGGCAGGGAGTCTGCTTCTCCCTCTGACCCTCTTCCCTCTCGTGCTTTCTATCTCTCATTCTCTCTCTCTCTCAAATAAATAAATAAAAATCTTTAAAAAAAATAAAAAAAAAATTAAGTAAAAGAAATCAAAATGCTTCCATAAGGAAAAAAGGGAAAGTAGTAGATGGATTTACATGTGCTTAAACACACTTATTCTAATATAAACTAGATCAATATGAAACTTTAGTAGCAAGCAGTTTACTAATAGAATACTTAAGTAAAATGTCATGAATTCAGTATCAAATGCTACATTCATACACTTGTAACTTAAAACTCATTTAACTCAAAATTTGGGAACTTATGAAAACATCCAAGTTTAATAATAAAGGGCTAAATCTGTAAGTCAGCAGTTCCGGATGCAATTGTCTGAAGTTTTAAATTCTCACCATTAATCTCCTTTCTTTACAACCGTGGTCTCTTCACCATAGGCTTTTAACTCTCTTCCCAAATACCCTTTTAGCTACTCAAGGGGACAGAAAGATCTTCTCAGAACTAAAATTTGGTCATGTTACCCCTGGTTCCCAAGGCAAAGCCTCCCACCTGTGCCCACCGCAACCTGTGCCCACTCTACCTATTGACTACCACCACTGTAATTTCATTTACGTGATCATTTGGTTATCTTCACAGGGCAGCCAGAAACCAGATTGATTTTGCTCAGGCCCAGGAGCTACTCAAACTTTTTTTTTAAGTAAATTAATTAATGAATTTCAAGAGTTTTTGAAATACTTCGCAATCTTTTATATGGTGCTTTTTGTCCATGGAGATGTGTGAGAGCTTAACCACTTTACCGAACAAGAGAATCAAAGGCCAGATGCAGGACAAGAGCTATCGCAGTGGCTGGGGAAGACTGACACAGTGTGCAAGGCAGTACAGACCTCACGGAGACACTGTCGGTGTTCTTCGTATAGCGTTTGACGATAAAGGCGAAAATGCCACCAAAGAATCCTGAAACCAGATGTATTTTAAAAGCCACTAATAAAAATAATGTAGAAAAAACGATTCAAAATGGCACCCATATAAAGTGAGTCCTCCCAAAGTTCCCCATTATGATTTTCAAGACATCAAACTTTCCCAACTAGCACCTCGACTTTCAGATAAGAAACCTGGTGAGGGGCACCTGGGTGGCTCAGATGGTTAAGCGTCTGCCTTCGGCTCAGGTCATGATCCCAGGGTCCTGGGATCGAGTCCCGCATCGGGCTCCCTGCTCCTTGGGAGCCTGCTTCTCCCTCTGCCTCTCTCTCTCTCTCTCTCTCTCTCTCTCTGTCTCTCATGAATAAGTAAATAAAATCTTTAAAAAAAAAAAACTAAAAAAAAAAAAAAAGAAACCTGGTGAGGCCATGAACATACCCTGTATTTTAACTGAGTAACCTGAAGAACCAAACTCTGGGTGCAGTTTCTGTTAACATCAGTGAGTGGTTTTTAGGGTGGTTGTAGCTTTGATTCCGTCAGTGCCCAGAACTCCTCATTTCTTCTCTGCATGGGCTCAGAACAGTAGGAAAGAGGCAGTCTACTGTAGGGACCCACACATAACAATCTACTGCAAACACACGAGGTTGCTGGTTGTTTGAATGTTTCAGATCTTTGTTCTGAATGTCTGAAAACTGTAAGTAAATGACATCATGCCATGGTATCTTTCTGTACCTAGCTTCTCCATTTAGCAGTTTGAAATTCATCTGTATCCATGTGTGTAGCTCTACTTCAGTCACTAGCAGCTGTGTAATAACCCTTTGAATTTTGTTTTCCATTTGACTAACAATTGTTTCCAAGTAATCCTGCAATAAACACACTTGCCTATCTCCTCTGTGTCAGTTTCCTTGGGGTACTTGATTACTTAATGCATCCCTGAATATATTCTGTACCTCCTCCTACGCTTGTTGCCTCTGTGTCAGCTGCCAAGACTAATTCCTGGACTTTGCACAAAAACATCCTGGGGAGGATGGGAAACAAATCATTCAGTGCTCAGAGAACCAGGGGTATTGGTATACTTTCTGCACTAATTTCAACTTGAATAAAGCAACATGGTGCAGCAATGAGGCAAGGTTTGGTATCCATGCAGATCTAGGTTTGAATGCATGTCCTCTGAATGAGTTGTAACTCTGGGCAGACTAAGCTTTAGTTCCCTTCTCTGCAAACTACCTGGCAGGTGGTTGGAAGGATTTGAGAAAATGGCTCGTAAATCACTAAGTTCAGGGCAAGGTAGACAATAGGTACATAATAATAAGATATAAACTTATAAATACAACAAATTTAGGGTAACTACATGGTAAGTTTACAAATGCGGAGTGTAATTTTTTGCTTATTTTTTTAACAGCTAATAAAGCTTTATCAATAAGATATAATTCACATGCCATACAATTCACCCAATTAACACATACAATTCAACGGTTTTTGGTATATCCACAGATGTATACAACCATCACCATAATCAGTCTTAGAACATTTTAATTATCTCCAGAAGAAACCCCATACCCACAGCAATTGTCTCCCTCTTTCCCCCTCCCCCTAGTCTTAAGCAACCACTAATCTACTTTCTGTCTCTATGAATTTGCTTATTCCGGATATTTCATAAAAATGGAATCATACAGTATGTAGTGCCTAGGCTCCTTCACTTACACTCATGTTTTCAAGGTTCACCATGCTGTACCCTACATCCATACTTCACTTCTTATGGCCAAATAATATTCCATTGTATGGATGGACCACATTTTGTTTATCCATTTTGCAGTTGATGGACATGCGAGTTGTCACCTCATTTCGGCTATTGTGAATAATGCTGCCACCAATGTTCTGTCCAAGTTCGTGTGGACAGACGTGTTTAGTTCTCCTGGGTATGGACTTAGGACTGACATTGCTGGGTCAAATGGTAATTCCCTATTTTTTGAGGAACCGTCAAACTGTTTTCCAGGGGGTTCCCCGTTCCAAGTCTCTACCAGCACTGTATGAGGCTAACAATACTCCACGCCCTTGACACTTGTAATAATCGGACCCTCTGGATCTATGCACACCCAACCCAGCGGGTGTGAACTGGCATCTCCAGGCTTTAATTTGCATTTGCTTGATGAGTAATACTAGTGAGTTTTTCATGTGATCCTTGACTGTTTGTTCTATCTTGGAGAAAAGCCAGAAGTAGAATACTGAATGTCTATTATATGCCAGGTACTTGGGGTAACCAAGATTTTTCCACTAGCCCCTCATTTGATATGGCATTATACTCCCTATTTTGTAAATGGGAAAATTAAGGCTGGAGCAACAAAGCTGAAGATTTGCATTTGAATTTTAAATCCACTTAAAGCACACCTCATTTGTACTTTGCTGGTCCGTACTTGTGTTTCAGCCAGTCAGCCAATCTGGCCACAGCAGGGTGCTTTCACACCACCAAGGGCCACCAGGCACTATTCTAAGACACACACGGGCTAGCAGACAGTACCACCTCCTCACGGGAGAGGACAGAGTTTTCACAGCAGAGCTTGTGTGCACAAGATGTGCCTGGGAAGTTCCCGACCACCCACCCACCAACATGCTGCCGGGGCAAGAGAAACTCAAGACTGTGATAAGGGGACTAACTGCGTGTACCGAAGGGTCATGGTTTCTACAGAAAATACAGTCCGCTTCAGTAGATTAGATACGATCTTAGGAGGAATAAGAAACAACCCTTACACTTTTTCCCCCAAGTGTATATTCTTTCTGAACTCAAGCCTTTGGATTCCGTTGTGGGTTGAACCGTGCCCACCCCCCAGCCCCCGTATATTCCTATGTTGGGAGTTTTTTTTTTTTTTTAAGATTTTATTTATTTGACAGAGAGCGAGCACAAGCAGGGGGAGGGGCAGAGGGAGAAGCAGACTCCCCGCTGAGCAGGGAGCCCAACGCAGGACTCGATCCCAGGACCTTGGGATCATGACCTGAGCCGAAGGCAGACGCTTCACCAACTGAGCCACCCAGGTGACCCCGCTATGTCAGGAGTTGTAATCCCCAGTACAATGTGCCTTATTTGGAGAAAGGGTCATCACAGATGTAATTAGTTAAGATGAGGTCATGCTGCTGCAGAGTGGCCCTCTCCAATGACCAGTGTCCTCATAAGAAGAGGAAATTTGGACACAGACACACAGGGAGAAGGCCATGTGAAGATGAAGGCCAGGATCGGGGTGAAGCACCAAGCCAAAGGATGCCAAAGAATCTGGGAGAGGGGTAGGGAGCAGAGATTCTCCATCATAGCCCCAAAGGAACCACCCTGACCACCCCTGGATCTGGAGTTCTTGCCTTCAGATTTGCAACACAGCTCATGACCGTTGTCACCCAGTCTGGGCCTCTTTGTTACGGCAGCCCTGGGAAGCTCACACGGATCCCCACCACCAGGCGAACCAAACACAGTGGCCCCACAGGACATACACCTGAATTCCACTCCAATGGGAAAGGTAAGTAATTTTGGACCGCCAAAATCAGTAATCTGTATGGCAAGTTTCTTAAGAAACAAGCAATTACGACTTTCCATTACTGCGTATTTATTTCGGCTAGATATTTACAGATATTTGCTAATATAAAAATACAACGGCCAGGCAGGCGGAGAGTTGAGGCCATACAACCCTTACTGCAAAGACCCTCCAACCCCTTCATCTTTGTATTCTCCTCCAAACGCTTTCTCTAAGGCTTTAAATAATTTCCAATATTTCCACATGAAAACGACTGCACACCATTTCTGTGCACGGAGGCTGGGCTGAGCTCAGTATCTGTACTTCGTGGAGTAGTCCTTCGGAGACACGACCAGGCCGCGACCTTTCCGGGCGCCCCGGTACACAGTCTCGATGATGTCTATCATTTCCTGTTTGTCTTCCATGGCCCAGTTGATCTTGTTGTTGTTACCAGTACCCAGGTCAATCATGATGTGCTTGTTCCTGCAAAGAGACAAGGGGTCAATGCTCACAAAAATCCTTCTAAAAAAGAGTTCCATGAAAAAAAATGCCTTGTTTCCCACCATCACAAGCTCTTGTTTAACATCAGTTAAGAACACACACAGTCAAGAGGATCCACCACGATTTAGAAGATGGAAACAACCTAAATACTATTTTAAAAACGCTCGCCATGCATGGTGCAAACTTTCTGTTTAGCTACTCCCTTAGGACAAACACCCTACAGGACAATTTTAGTCACTTGGAAAGGGAAACTGTTTTCCAGAGGGTTGTTACTAATTTACCTAGGAAATACAATATGAGTTTTTCATGGTGCTCTTGTGAGCACCTGTGTACAACTTTATTAATAATAAAGTCCTAATTGTGAAGTCAGTATATTTTGCAATTCTACAATTAGGGATGTAGATGATACTTTACAAATTTATTTTTTAAGAGGCTACTTTTTAAAATGAATTTATATGTGTACTTTACAAAGATATTAACCCTTGTTGTCCTTGGTGCACGAATTTTTCCAAGTTTGTTGAAGATTAGTTTTCATTTATTTAACTTTTCACTTCTACAAGAATGAAGTACTCCACCCTGAAGTCTCCAGTCTGGCCGCCTTCCAACCAGAGTGAGCATCCAAAAGGCAAATTTGATGTTTCTTCTCTGCTGCAAACATTTACTTTCAGGATAACATTCCACATCCTCATTCGGGCCCAGGAATCTGGGGGTCTGGACCCTGTTCCTCCCTCCGTCACCTGTCAGCCACCATGTTGTTGCAGGTTCCCCTGATACGGCCCGACTTTTCATGCCCGTGTGCCCGCCCACCCCTGGAATGCACGAGCTCATTCTAAACTTCCTCCAGATGTCCTTCAGCTCCCGCCATGCTGACTCAGTACTTGTGTCTCTATAAATACCCGTCTTCTGGCACCTGTTTCCCTTTGCTCATTTACTCAGCTGTTGCCAATCCGTGCAGTTCGGTGATGGCAGGAACCCAGTCTTATCTGACTTAATGTCCTGTCGCTAGACCACAAAACCTGGCAGGACTCAATATACACATTTGGTGAGAAAATTAACTTAAGTACTGATGTGCCTTGTCTTAGAAAGAGTGGAAGGAGGTTCTTCTCTTCTGAGAGCAGAGCCAGACCTGATACACCAGCATCCAGTGCCTTCTTTCTGCAGCCTCTTCCACCACAGCATCCATTGTGCCTTGGTCGGGCTGGCCACAGGAGGCCAGCCTGGCAGCAGGAGGCTGGACCCAAGACAATCCTCACGAGTCGCACCTGAAGGGTTTGGGGAGAATTTTGAGCAGCATGACAGAAAAGACCTAGACTGCTTTGAAGAGACTGTAGAAACACGGACTTGGGGAGCACGGCTGGTGCGGGCTCTAAAGGAAGGAAGGAACGCACTGCTGGGGATGGAGGAAAGGGGCCCTTGTTCCTTGGGGACATGACATCAGGGCCAGTGTCCTGCTTCTGTGGAAACCAGAAGTCGCAAGGATGCACCTGGATGTGCACCTGAGGAAACAGCCAAGTCTTGAAGGGGCTGCCTGCTTTCTCCCTGCTGTGGACAGACAACGTGGTGTAAGAACCACTAACAGAAAGAATGAAGTCCCAGCCCCTACAGAGGGCAGAAGATGCTACAATGCAGACATAGCAGAGACATGGAAGAGGCCACACGACCTTGTGCGGAAGCCCAGGGAAGCTCCGAAGTGAGGAACGGCGTGCCTCCTGGATCTTCGCCCAGGACAGGGACTACCGATGGTGCAGTGAAAGGAGATGACAGAACTCCAAAATGCTACTGGCTGAAGTAGGCTGAAACATGGTCCAGCTGTACATACCTTTCCTGGAAAAGGCAGGAAAGCCCAGGCAGAACCCTCCCAGGCCTGGGGTGTCAGCCCCTTCTTTCTCACGTCCCCTTGAGAAACCAGACCTATTTCCTATGCTGTCCCACACTGTGTGCTGGGAAAGCTGGGGCCACAGATAAGGGGTGTCCAGGAGCCTAAGAAGCCTCATCCATGCCTGATTTTGCATATGGTAAGGACGTGAATCTTTGGAGCCAGAAGGCAGACCGTGGTAAACAAAATCCTAAATTCAACCCCATGAAGTTCCTGCCCTTGTCCCTGGGACTGTGATGTGGTAAGACGCCAACCATCAGTGACGTTACAGACAAATGGAGTCTGGCAGATGTTTCGAAGGTTACTAGTCAACTGACTTTAAAGGTAAGGAGATAATCCTGGATTATTTGGATGAGTCTATTCCATTCACAGCCTCATAGAGACAGAACAGGAAATTGCAGAGAAGGTGCAGGCTGTGGAGATGGAAGGGCCTCCAGGAGCAGGGAGGGCCCAGCATACAGCCAGCAAGGAGTCAGAGACCTCAGGCCCATGACCACAGGAAACTGCATTCAGCCAACAACCCAATGAGCCAGTGGCTTCTTCCCCACCTGACGGCGCCGAAAAGGGCCCAACCCGTGACTGGGGCCTCATGAGACCCTGAGAGGAAACCCACTGAGCCTGCCCGAACTTGGAGCAACAGAACATTGAGCTCATTTGTTACACAGAATATAAAGCCAATACACACCCTATACAATCCACCCAGACATTCCCTACCAGTTAGGAACGGGGTATGTCTAATGCTTAATATTGCTATTTATCAACTTTTGTAGTAACAATAAACAGAAAATTTGACAAGTAAAAACAATGACAAATGGTGATTTCTTTCCGAATTAAATCTCCACAACTTTTTTTGACTCATGATGTTACTCAGCTTTATTACATAAATACCATCAAGTGTAAAGATATCTTGATTACATCAAACTTCCTACCATCAAGTGTAAAGATATCTTGATTACATCAAACTTCCAAACCAACAATATTCAACTGAAGTGTTAACTTTAAGAGAACATACCTGAAGAAAAACATGACAGTACACGGATCGTATAACTCATACATTTTGTTGAAGTCAGGCACTTCTGTAATATCCACAAGATAAATAACTGCAAAATTTTTAACCTAAAAGTAAGAGATTGAAAAAAACCCTATAAAATAACACATCAATTTCTTATTCTGTAAAAGCACACTAAAAAACAAACGCAAGAATTTGTGTATAGAGGACAATTTTCAAACCAACTCCCCAACATTTTTTTTCCAGGAGCGCTAACACACAGGAAGACAATTCAAGACGTTCAGGGTCCTGACAACTGGCTGTTAACCTTGCTTTAACATTTTCAGAATACCAAGTTGTGGGACTCCTGCAGAAAATGTCCAAAGATACATTATTCATGCTGATCTAGTAATAATCTATATGAACTTTTTTAAATTTGTACTTTTCCAAATACTTTATTGCATACAATCAACAACTGCTTTAAGACATGCCTTTAGAATTCAGCCATACGTTTCTCCCACTTAGGTTTGAACACCTACAAATATGAGTAGACTAGTACTCCAAATAACATTGCATATAACAAATATTCTTTCATTTTTTTTCACTAATTCCAAGTTCATCAGACAGGATTTAGAAAACTCAGAAAACTATTATTAAAGCAGAATCACCTCCAATCCCAACAACCAGAGTTAATTGCTCCAAATATATTTTTAGTAAATTCTTTCCCATTTTTTTCTGTTACACACACACACACACACACACACAAACACATCTGTCTATACTGTTTAAATAAAATGTGATCATACCATAGTATTTTATATACTGCTTTAATTATGGACATTCTCTTATACAAATTATATATTTTCCCCAAACACAATATTTATGGCTACATAATACTTTATCAAATGGTTATGTCATTATTTTACCATTCTTCCATTATTTTCTGATTTTTCATGAAAATAATTCAAATTTTTCATTAATACCAATTATTCACCTATGAACATTCTTACCCTTAATTTGTGTACATATTTCATTATTTCCAAAGATAAATTCCTAAAATAGAATATAACAAAGGACATGACATTTTAAAAGCCCTTATAAATGCTGTCTCAATGCCTTCCAGGAAGCTTACACCAATCAGTATGTTATGGGCTGAGCTGTCCCCCCACACAAAGAGATAGGCGGGACTCCTAACCCCCAGTCCTCAGAATGTGGCCTTATTTGGAAGAGGGTCCTTGCAGATGTCATCAGCTATGGAGAGACCGGCCATTCCGGATGGTGTCCTTTAGAGAAGTGGCCATGGGTGACTTTTTGAGAGCGAGACATCTACAAGCCAAGAGCACCAAAGATGGCGGACGACTCCAGAGCATGGAGGATGTGCGGAGGCATTCTCCCTAGAAGGTTTCAGAGGCTGCGTGGCCCTGCAAATGCTTTGGTTTAGAACTCTCGGCCCCCAGAATGTGAGAGGACAGACTTCTGTTGTTTCCTCTGCCCAGTTTGTGGGGCTTTGTTACTGCAGCCCCAGGAAATGCATACAAAACTAATTCTAGAATTCTGAATATATTTGCAGATGAAATAATGTGGTTTCTGGGATTTGCTTTACATACTGCAGCATAAAAAATGCCAGGGGTCAGGTGACACAAGACTGACAAAGTATTGGGAACTGCTGAACCTGAGCGATAGGGTCAGATGGGTATGCTCCTCTCTGCTTTGGGGACTATTAAAAAATACTTAACAGAGAAACTTAAGCCACCATCACCAAAAAAAGTTTACATCTAACGAGGACTCCTTTTGCCCCACAGCACTGGTCAGGAGAAAACCTAAAAAACCCTCAAGCAGCAGCGTGAGGGCTCTGACACCACCATGTGCCCACTGTCTGCCACTGCTTCCAAAAAGCCTTAATGCAGCACCTTTATATTGTTGATCCCCATCTCTGAAATCCTGGTTTCCTGTGCCAACAGTGAGAATGTGCTGGTCAGGTCACCAGAACCCAGTTTTATTTTCATGGTTAACATATCAATTGTGTTCTGATTTTATTTAAAAATAAAACAGAAACTGCAGCACAGAAGTTAAGACCATAAATTGGTCAGTGTGTATAAATATACACAAAATGGTCAGGTAGGAACCCTGACTTATTTTTATCCCTTCAATGCCTTGCTCTGTTGGCTGATGCACAAAATAAACACCAATAACAATTATTATATTAAATATTAACTTATGGAATCACCATGTAAATATTCAATTAGTCTAAAAATCAGTGGGCAGGACTATAAATTATGTACTTTAGAAAAAAGTAAAATCACAACTTTTGTCCTTTTTATTGTATGCAAAAAATTTTAAATAACATAAGGACTCAACTCAATGGACATTTCATAATCAGGAGGCAATTGAATAAAAGTAACTTGTTTAAAGATACAAGTCTACATCTCCTTTGCCTTCTTGTTCTATCTGGGTCTATCTAACCCCCACTCTGAATTCTAGCGGGAAGCAAAGTATCATGTCAAGGTCACTTACCCCCAAAACCTAGAACATGCTCTTTCCTCACCACAGACTGAGAGCCCACTCTGTGCAAGACACTCCTTATTTCTAATTCTTTTAACACCCCCAAATAGAGACATTATTAATGTTTTGTGTACAATGAAATTAAGGCTCAGAAAGACAGTGACTCTAAGCTGCACAGGGAAGCAAGTAGCAAAGCTGAGACTCACCAAATCTGGCTCCAAAGCCCAACCTCTGGATGGGATTCCCTACCCAAGTCTTGAAGGAATTAGCCTGCCCAAAGGGGGCAGGAGGCCCTGGGGGAGTGGGGAATGTGCCAGGCCAGGAGAGCAGCATGTGCAAGTTAAAGATGCCAGGAGAGGACAAGGCAAGGGCAGAGGCAGCACCTGGGACATGGGGTTAGAGGTGGAACGTGAACCTGGAATTGCAGACAAGGGCCCTTCTAGGCCTAAGAAGTTCAGGTTATTTACTTGTTTGTTTCCAAGTAAGGAGTGGGTTGGGAACTTGAGAAACCTAAGGAGCATCTAGAGAGAAGGTCTTACAAGTAATTCTGGGATGGCTCTGCTAAGGACACCACTGCCGTCTGCATCCAACAGGTGGCTGGTCCAGCCAGCCCACTGGAGAGCCAAGGGAAGGACAGGGGTGGCCAGGGAGGCACACTCACAAACCAAGTCAAGGGACCCATCCACAGAGAGAGCTGGGTCAAGTACCAGAGAGCTCATGTCAGACAAAGGCTGTGGGCATCTGTGATTCTGGCTACTGGGAGGTCATCAGTGACCGTGCAAGACCCACACAAGGCATTAAGTATGGACAGGCCCTGCAAGGAGCCTGGCTATGAAAAGAGGGAAGTCACTGAGGGTCTCAGGTGTAGAGAGGTAGGGTCTCCCCCGCCACCTCCAACTCCCTCTTTTCCTGGTAGAAGAAGAGAAGGTGGCTGTGTGGTGATGTGTGCTGTGCACCACTGGTCCAAAGAGCCTCTGTGCAAAATGTTCCTTCTACATCCCTCAAGACAGCAGCACGCTCCTCTGCAGAGCTGTCCGGGCCAAAGTGACCCTGCGAGTTAACTTGACCTTCTGCCTACACCTGAATTTCACTAAGCAGAGATACTTTATTACTTTTTACATATAAAACAAAGATGCCATAATTTAAAATGAAGATATTAACATTATAGTATAACCAGACATATAGACGTACATTTGCCTCCTAAAGCATAAGCTGCCAATCCAACGGAAACCCAAGATGCCTTTCTGACTCAATGTGAATTATTTAGCCAACTGGTTCTGTTTCCTAGAACGTCCAAATTTCCCAAGTTAAAGCAGAAATTGACACACGAAACCCCATCTTCTTAAAAGTGATCAAAATAGGGGCGCCTGGGTGGCTCAGTCGTTAAGCGTCTGCCTTTAGCTCAGGTCATGATCCCGGAGTCCTGGGATTGAGCCCCGCATCGGGCTCCCTGCTCCGCGGGAAGCCTGCTTCTCCCTCTCCCACTCCCCCTGCTTGTGTTCCCTCTCTCGCTGTGTCTTTCTCTGTCAAATAAATAAATAAAATCTTAAAAAAAAAAAGTGATCAAAATATATCTCATCTATTTTATACATGAGGACATTCAACTACCCCAACTCAATGATATCACATAATTTTCACACTATAAATGCTGGTTTTTATAGTGAGACTTTAAGAGCAGGCCCTATTTCCTTTTGCTTCCAATGGTGAGTAAGAAAACTCTCGCACATTCAGAAGTAAAATAAACAGGGGCACCTCGGTGGCACAGCCAGGTTGAGCATCCAACTCTTGGTTTCAGCTCAGGCTATGATCTCAGGGTCCTGAGATTAAGCCCCATGTCGGGCTCTGTGCTCAGTGGGGAATCTGCTTGAGAATGTCTCTGCCCCTCCCTCTGCCCCTCCTACCGCTCACTCACTTGCTCTCTCTAAAAAAAAAAAAAAAAGAAGAAGTAAACCACCAAGTGACACCCCAGTACTTAATTTTCTTCCCCCCTATATGAATTACGTTATGGTCCTGCAGATAAATGTGAGGCTCAGAACCATGTCTGTGTCTTTACCGATCTGTCCTCAGAGCCAAACAGTACCTGACTCACACAGTACTAGTAAATGTTTACTGAATGAACTTTAACAATAAACTTGTATTTTGAAACACAAGAAACACGTTATTGTCACTAAAAATGTGTTTTTGGACATCATGAGTTTAATTATGTAACCCTGAGTTCAGAGTTCAAAAGAAACCAGCCTTCAGAGATGGTGCCACTTCTTCCGGACAAAGGTTCTCACAGACTTGCAGAGAAAGGGATCGCACATCCAGACAGGCAGCACCGAGTGGACTTCCTCCAGCTCTGTGCCTCCCTGCCAGTCTTTTGCCTCTGGAAAAGCCTCCATTTGTCAAAGCTTCCCCTAACACGGGGTACATGACTTCTGCCGTGATGCCTTCCACACGGTCTGAACTATTTTGCCTGAATATTTCACACGCATTAAGGAATCTGTGCTTAACTATAACCCTGTGTATTTTTTATAAACTGAAATGAAGCTAGGTATCTACTATATTTTCTCCATTTAAAAAATGTTCACGGGCTCAGTCATTAAGTGTCTGCCTTCAGCTCAGGTCATGATCCCAGGGTCCTGGGATCGAGTCCCACATCAAGCTCTCTGCTCAGCAGGAAGCCTGCTTCTCCCTCTCCCGCTCCCCCTGCTTGTGTTCCTGTTCTCGCCATCTCTCTCTCTGTCAAATAAATAAAATCTTAAAAATAAATAAATAAATAAATAAATAATATTCACTTTGAAAATATAGAAGTGGAATGGAAAAACCACTGCCATGTGTCCAGCCCAGAATTTTTTTTAAGTAAACTCTACTCCGAACATGGGGCTTGAACTCAAGACCTCAAGATCGAGAGTTCCACGCTCTTCTGACTGAGCCAACCAGATGCTCCAGCCCAGTATTTTTTAAACAAGTTATATAATTTAAAAATATGACAGTCAAATAAAATTAATAGAATACGAGTGTCTTACAGTGAAAAGTGTTTCCCTTTCCCCAGACCTTCACTCGTGAGGAAATCACATTCATTCTGCTTTCTCCAGCTGACATCATTAACAAAGGCCCACGGTATTTAAAAAGCTTAAATCATTTTTAACGGCCAAATAATATTCCATCCACTGCCGAGGACATTCCCAGTTCAAATCCCAACTGTCCATCTCCGAGTCTGGACAAATTACTTGGCATCCCTACCTCAGGAGTCATCATGGGGGCCATGGTCAGAGGTCTGTGTCCTACCTGGCAAGGTAACTGGTCTAAATGCTCAAAAACTAGAGATTACAGTCATCACCATGCTCTCCTACCATCAGACACTGATTGTTGTTGCTTCCAGTTTGCTAGAAATTATAGCAAAAGTCTTGTAGAGCATATAAGTTTGCCTACTGAAGAGGGAGGGTGACTGAGTCCTTAAGACTTTTCATACAATGCCAAATTGCTTTCCAAAAGGATATCAGTATTAACTTTCTCCACACCACAATAAATACCTTTTTTTATCTTTGATATATCTAAGAAACAATAGTACACTATTTTAATGTGTATGGCTCTGAAGTTTACTTAACCATTAGAATCTCCTCTTTTTTAAGTTCTTTGACTCTCTACCCATGGGAGTCATCTTTTTAAATGGTACTTTAAACTTATTTGCATAAGTCTTCTATATCTAAAATAATATTTTACCTGCTATGTTTGCAGTAATTTTAATTGGTTGTTACTAGTATTTTTTAAAAACCAAGAACTCTATGTACAAATTTCGTTTCTATTATCAAGTTGCTGATCATTTATAATAGTAAACATCCTTTCCAGCCCTGTTGCCTACACATTTTATAAGTATACCTCCTTTTTCTTTCTTCAGCAGGTCACTGATTAAGCTGTTCAGCAGTCCTTCTACATGACCTGTCTCCAAGTGAAAGTAACTCATGCGAATCACTAAGACTGAAGGCCAGCACAGTATACCAACCACCATTCCAACCTTCTGAATAGAGCTCCTCCTCCAGCCAAGAACCCACATAAAATGCTGGAAAAACATTTTCTGGACTGTCAATTGCCACTATGTATTTTATTTCTGAAGAGCCAATTTTTAGGTAATTCATGTCAAAGCCATCAAAAAACTGCATGGTAACTTTATTTTCCCAAAATATTTGCCTGATTAGCTCTATCACAATAACTCCTGCAAATTTTGTGATGTGAATGATGATGCTGATAACAGTGGCTAATGATTACGGAATGTTACTTGCTTTGTGACAGGAAGTGTTCCAGAAGTCGTTCTATTAATTCTAGCCTCACGACTACCCTACGGGTTAGGCACTACTGTCCTTTTCTTACAGATGAGTAAAATGAGGCACAGAGACAAGTTACTTAAGATCACATGGGAGAGGGCGCCTGGGTGGCTCAGTTGGTTAAGCGACTGCCTTCGGCTCAGGTCATGATCCTGGAGTCCCGGGATCGAGTCCCGCATCGGGCTCCCTGCTCGGCAGGGAGTCTGCTTCTCCCTCTGACCCTCTTCCCTCTCGTGCTATCTCTCATTCTCTCTCTCTCAAATAAATAAATAAAATCTTTAAAAATAAAAAAAAAAGATCACATGGGAGTAAGTAGCAGGAGCTAGCTTGGCCCCTACTCTTAGCCAGCACTCCATCCTGCCCCTCATAGCTTGCTGCTAGCTCCAAGGCTGTCATACCCAGAAACACAAATCCATAGCAAACATATGCATTTTCTTCGCCCTTATGAGATAGTTCATTTGACTGAACATCAGCTTCCAATAAGGTTTGATTTACTTTATGCAACGCTTAAGAATGATCCCTTAAGATCATTTCCAAAAGTTCCATACATATATTTGTCCTATATACAACTTTATTAGAATGTATGATCATGAGTCAATGATATCATTGAGGTTTTGCATATTTTAAACTCTATTTGTATGCGTTTTTTTAACACACAAAAATTAAATGTCCCATTTATTCCTTCCCATCATGGGATGAGCTGTGACAAACTGTTCCTACAAAATGGCAAGACAGCTCAGAGGTACACAACACAGTCTCTCTTTGAGGCTGTGCATAAAATCAGCTGCTGAACAGGAAACTTTGTTATTATCACTCTACCAAATTCCAGACATCTATAAAATTGTCTCGCAGATTTCTTACGTTTTCAGTGCAGCTCAAAACTAACCCAGCATGAGGTGGGGGTCTGGAGGCTGGCACTGCCAAAGCATCAAGTCAACACACCACATTCCAGGAGAAACAATCGAATAAAGTCCAGCCTAAACAGTGGAACTTTTACTCACTTTAAAACAGCTGGGGTATCCAAACAGGGCTCGTAACAAGATGAGGAAGATCCCCCACTATCTGCCATTTCTGCAGAGGGAGATTTTTAAATAGAGAGTTAAGTTGTTCTTTATACTAAAACCTTAAGTTTCAAAAATTCCTCTTGAGCTTCCCCAAAAAGGGCTTCCAGAATTATAAACTCTTATTTTGCCTTTATACTAAGAAGAAAATAAAGCAATAAACTTGTGATGCGTTTCAAGTTTGCATTTTTAGTAACTGTACTGTAATAATATTTTATTAAAAGTTTACTAAAATTTTTGGACAAAAGGAAAAGTACCTTAAAAAAAACAAAGAAAAATACTCAAAGTGAGCCTAGTTAAGCTGTTCTTATCAACAGGGTCAATACCAAAAAAGAGTGCGTCCACCAACGATACGGAGATTCAGTCTATAACGACATAAAGGGATGAGAAAAGACTCCTATAAAAGTCCCTAAAAGCTTATGTTAACACACAAAATCTATCTCCTAGCTAACACCATTTTGCTGGTTTTGCTCAGATGTGAAGAGCCAAATGACCATCTCATCTCTAAGCATCCTGACCTTGTGCTGAGGACAGGGGGAGGCGGTCATCACCTGATGTTTATACCACCACCTGCAACGTAGAATTCAGAACACCCACCCTAAGTTATTTCAAAGTGAACAGAGCCTCAGTGTGCTTCTCAGAAAAGTGCCTGTGGGCAGTTCCTCACTGACCTCGGCAGTATCTGCCCTTAACCACTATAACCTAAGCAAGGCGTAAGTGACTTCCTGGCACCACTTCATTTACGACTTCTGAACCCAAGTGGGAGGATCCCCAGTGTCAGAAAACTGCTGCTCTCCCGAGTTCTCCCCAAGCTCCTTGAGGAAGAGGAAGGGAATGGCTGGTAACCACAGCACGCCTACTCTGATCCTGACCTCTGTCGAGGGGTTTTTCAAAGTCACATCAGAATTCCCAGGGCAGGTTCTTAAAAGGGCTGTTTCTGGACCTCACCCCTGACCAACAGAATCAGAACCTCTGAGATGCACTTCACAAGTATTCCAAGTGATGCTCATGATGACTGACACGGAAGAATGGTCTCTAGTGTTCCCAATGCCACCACCCATGCCGCACTTTGCCTCTTCTACCAAATAGGGGGTAGTAAAAATTAGCAATGAAAGGTTAGATAGTTGTTTGTTTTTTTAAGTAAACTAACCCCAATGTGGGGCTCGAACTCAGGACCCCAAGATCAAGAGTCTCATGCTCTACTGACTGAGCCCACCAGAAGTCCTGGAAGGTCAGACAATTTTTCCTTTCCTAAATACAAGATAGATCCTTACATCTGTTACTATCTACCAAGTTATTTTAACCCCTTATTCCTCTGGAAAAAAACATGGCTTCAATGTTTCCATTACTTTTACTCTTCATTAAAATGACCTCTCAAATTATCTACGGAATATCAATAAGTTAGATATTTTATTAACACCGTAATATATTTGCTCTTTGTCCTATTGCTACAATTGCAAAACTCCAAATTAAAGTTATCTTCAAATCACCATGAGGAAACTACAGAAAAGCACTAAGCCCTGGTTACAAAGCAGTGCCAAGGACGGCACTTTCCTTATCAGCAAACAAGCACCATGACAAGCTAGAGTACTAATATTAAAAATCAGGAGCACAATTCTATTTTCTCCTGACATCTCCTGCAACTCAATCACTCGAAGCTATAAATCAAGTGACTTACAAAGAGAATGGAAGGGAAAAGACCAGAAGAAAAGTAACAGGGTTTACCATCCGCTTAACAGGAATGTTCTGCTTCACAAACACAAGAAACAATGTATCAAAAATGGACAATCCTTTTAAACTAAGCAATTTAAGTAGACTCCATCGTTCTTGCCAAAGTCTCTAAGTGTGTTTTGTTCATGGCTCTGAGGAGGAGGAATCATGAACCTCTTTAAGACCGGAGAGTCGACGAAACCTCTCCCAGAAGAAGGCAGAAGCTAATGTGCACAAGCTCTCTGCGGAATGTGCTGCGTGTGAGAAAGGAAGGCGCGAACAAGGGCCCGGGACGCACGTGTAACCTCACTTTTAAACTCTGCTAACCGGCCAAGCGGAGGAAACAGACCACACCAATCCCCAGGCCGGTCCCGGAACGCCCCGCGCAGGGCCGAGCCGCGTTACCTTCTCGGCTATGCTGTAGAGCACCTCGTCCATCTTCATGCAGGTGGGGTCCCAGTCGTGTCCAAAGCGAATGACCACCACGCGGTCCTCCTCCGAAAGAATGGCCTGATCCACCTGCCAGCCGTTGTGCAAGTGCGGGAGCATATACGACATCTCGGAGGCGGGTCCGGGGGTCTGCGAGGAGAACTGCGAGCACCCGCTCCTTCCCGCGGACTGCTGGGCAAGGGGGCCTGAGCGTCACCCCGCCCGCGCCCCTCGGTCCCACGGCGGGGAGGGGCCGGG